GGTTACCCAGGTCCACGTTTTGGTCTATATCTCGAGACCCTAGTCACCCAGCTATATGAAAAGTTTTCAATCTTAAAGAATTCATGAACAGCTTTCATTTGATACCCATATTGAACAAATACACGCAAGGTTACCCAGGTCCACGTTTTGGTCTATATCTCGAGACCCTAGTTATTTTTTAAAAATTTTCTTTTCTACAAACCTCACGGAGCCCGAGCCCTTTCCAACGAATGCAAAACCGTGGGAATCGGTTCGGCGGTTCTTGAGTTATAAGATTACCAAGGAAATGTAACTTCTTTTTATATATATAGATTAGGAGCAAATGTACTTAGTTTTAGAACTTTAACTCAGAATTCGCACAATAAACTTTGCGAATAGAAGGCAAATCAGAACACAATATAAGTTGAACCTCACAGCTTGACGTTTGCTCTACTAGGAATTTCAGGGCTATTGTAAAACCCCACAAAATCTTGGGCATATCTTAAACACTATGGCTTTCTCTAGAAAGCGTTGTTTTAAGTATAGTTGAGCAATGGGATAGTTTGAAATTTATTTTATTTCTGGTTTTACGATATAAACGGTATGCGATCTGCAAACCTGGCCGAAGGAATGTGTTGCAAAATCAAATGCTAATTTTTTATTTCTATCATATATTTTCCCCATAATTAACAATCTTAAGAAAGAGTTCCAAGCTGAAGGCTCTCGTTTGCCATACTTATATGCAACTATCAAAGCACATTATCTCATAATTTTGAGTAACTTTATTAAATAAGATGCGATCAGAAACAAATATAATATTTAGGGGATTCCCTTAAACTCGTAAAATCGTAAACCGTATAAAACTCGTAAGTTTACGAGGCTTTTATGGGAACGCTCCCTTTGTGAACAGTGTTGCCGCGAAACATTTTTAGCGGGAGCTAAATTCAGGCTAAAAAAGAGCTAAAAATCGTCGCTGTGGGTAAAAATGGTAGCTAAATTTTTTTACCTACATATAAATATATAAGTATACACGCAAACATTTTCTATAAGTAATGATATAGAAAAACAATGAACTCTGGAAAGAATTAATATTTTATTCAACAAAAAAACTTGTTGTGTAACACATAAAGCATATTAAGGGCCGCCAACTTACCTATTTTAAAGTATAGTTAAATCGTTAATGGATAAGATAACGGCCCAGAAACGTAAAAAACATACATATACATATGTATGTACAGTTTAAAAATTAATTTCTTACATAAACAAAAAAATGAGATCACATTAAGAATACATAAGTACTAGAATCATATCTATATACAGTGTCGGACAATACTAAATAACTTAAATAATTTCAAACTATGCTTCGAAAAATATCCATTTGTAAAAGAAATTTTTAAAATGTTATGTTATAATTTACAAAGAATTAAAATGTCGGTGCTTTATTATTGTCCGACGCTGTATGTACAAACAAACAAAAGAGTATTCATTTAATGAACTCATAGTAAAATAATTTAATCTATAAACATTTTTTTTTAACACATTAAATATTTATATCTATATCAATACTATCATCGCTAAGCGATTCTTCGTCGTTACAATTTTGTTCATTTCTCATTAACCTGACGATATCATCTGTAAAATCAAAATCATGACAACATTTCTGTACATTTTTTAAGCCATATCTTACAGTTAATAAAGCGTTTAACATTGCAAAATTCATTTTATTTCTGTGCTTATTTTTAACGAAATTTATTAATAAAATAGTATTATATTATATTATTATAAATAAGTTTTTTTTTGTCCGCAAAGCTCGAGAACGGCCAAACAGATTTTTTTTAAATTCCGGACACCTGCTTCAGACGTCCGAATGATAGTTATAGGCTAAAAAAATTCGCGTGGCACCTCCCATACAAAGTCTATGTATACATATTAGATTCCTGTATAACAATTATACGCATCCATTTTGAAATTGTCACCAACTATACCATAAAGTTTCAGGGGCAGATTCACTATAGAACCGGTTCATTGTTGTCGCCAGGGGGTGAAGGGGAAACGTTCTTCAAATTTATTTCGTTGTGAGATTAACCGTTCTATGAAATGCTACACAATTAGAGAATTTCAAGAACTTCTTCACGGAGATAATACTTTCGTTAGATTATTTAAGGCGGCAAACGACCACCAAACCATAATCTTAGCCGATGAGCGTGCCAATTGAAATCGTAAACGTGAATTGTTGGTGAAAATGTTGGACCAAAATGTTTCAATGATAAAATTAATTTTGGCGGGATGAAGTTTGCCGGGTCTGCTAGTATTATAATATTTCATTTAACCTAATTGAATTTTATTAAAAAAATGTGGCAACCCTTGTGAAAGACTAAAGGTTTCTTAACAATATTTGGTGTTCTGACTAAACAAATAATAAGTAAATTAATTAATAATGATTATATTCTGTAGAATTATAACGGAATAAATTTTTTGGTGCATAAGGGCGAATGTATGGAAATTGTCCTTTACAAATGTTGTCCTTAAATATCATTGAAAATTTGTAATATTTTTTTTAATTATTGTTGGAGAACTAATATACGCACGACCTCATCATTGAATTTCGCCCTGCAGACTTTATTAACTTAAAAAGATAAAATTTATTAAAAGCGCGCACTTCCAATATCTATTCGTCCTTGTAAACCAAAACACTTTAGTGTTTGATAATCCTACAGAATTTTCTCTCTCATTTGGTACCCATATTGTTATTCTACATTACACTGTTTTTTTTTAATTAATCATTTCTTTAAAATTTTTTAATTAATCATTTCTTTAAAATTTGAATGTCCTTTGAAAAAAATCCTGACGTGAGAGTAAAAAACTAAAAACGCAGTTTTACTATATTTGGCCCATAGTTTCATGAGTATATCGATTCTATCGTCTTTTTGTAAATATTTGTGTTTTTGTCGCACGGTGTTATAAAAAGTTTTATTTGTGAAGAATTAGATTTTTAAATCGCAAAATTGCATTCAAAATTAGTAAAATGAAAAAAATAACAACACAATGCACTTGTGGTTTGTATTATAAAATAAAAGGAACAATTACGATGAAGTCTCCTTTGACAGTTTCCATTTTAAATATTTTTAATAAAAAAAGTGCGTAAGTAAAAAAAAAATACCAAGCATTGATAATGATTTTTGATTTGAAATTTTATTACATTGGTATAAATATGGGAAAGAAAATACTCCGATCTATTGGTTTCATTATTATCAAAGTGGCAAGGCGGTTCATAATAGTCATAATTTATGAAACTTCAAAAACTTGTATTATCCGTCAAAAGTTGTTTATTGAAACTACCTTCTTTTTTGTATCATGGTAGCACAATGCGACTAATATTTGACTTACAAACAAAATACGGGCAGGCATTTCAAAATTTCAACCCTTTTTGTGTGAAATATTTTATTTTTATCAGAATTTTTCTTTTAATCAATCTATGTTGAAATAAAAGCTAAAATAAAAAAAAATATTTTGTCATAAAATTCCCGACACTGATTTAAATGTAAAGAACATAACCTCAAAATTTTTCTGACAATCGTTTTCTTATTCTGTTTTCACTGCAGGCTACCATAAATTGGCGAACGCGTAGTAAAGTGGAAAAGGGGCTTCTAATAGTTACACTTATATTATCTGTAATTATTTCGGCGCTACTTATTGTGATAATAACGAGCAAATCCGATAAAAGTGGTTGCATTTTGCACATAGAACCACATATTAAAGGTATGACAGTAACTCGAATCAATATATGTAAGTATATCACTTGTATATATTTATAACACTAGGAATAATGACCTATATCGTCTGAATATGGAGAAAAATTTTATTTCCAAATTTTAAGGATGTTTTCTAAACGGATATTGATGACGGATAAAAGAAACAAATATATTTGTATGACATTTTTTTATTATTTTTATGTTGAAATTGTATTTTGAATAATATCAGCTTGAATTAAGAAAACAAATTTTACAAGGAATAATTTTGTAATTGCCTTATGTTTATCCTTGGTTAAGCATTTGGCAAAGCTTCTCTAATTCGTTGTGAGAGAAACTCTTCATGACAGAAGTACGCTGCCAGGTTTGAATGTTGCGCTAATCAGACATCCAATTTGGGTCTTACCAAGTAGTAGAAGTACTCAACTATGGCGGCGGATACCTGGATCGAAACACTAAATCAGACATTTTCTTTTTTATTTGAAAAATAATATCCGTACTGATCCCGGAATTTTCTCTTGGCGACCCTGGCTATACATACTGAGGTAAGGTTCTGAAGTCCATATTAGGTTCGCCAGACCGACGAAATTGTCTTGAAGCGGCAGTTACGATGCTGTTGTATGTTGTCGGTCTTATTTTTTTTTTTGTGCTATGACAGACTGCTTTCCGCAGGAAGGCAGTAGAGTTGCTGGCAAAGGATCCTTTATGTAGGTCCTTAAATAGCAGGTTATTCAACAGTCTGATCGCTTTATTACTGAAAATGTGAATCGACACAATTCACGGCAATTTATGTTTCTCTCTTATTGACTTTGCATGAACGTCAAAACCGCTCGAGCAAACTTTTTTCTGAAAATCGATTACAAATGCAACGATGGCGGATTAGGTGATCTGTAGTCGTTGGTTCATGTTGACTTTGGTGGTCGTGATGTTGGTGATGCCATCTGTTCAGATTTAGTTTTTTGGTGAGTTTTCCACTGTTGCCAATTTAAACGATAGCAAATTTAAGCTTCCGATAGTTGCAATTTTATGTAGAGTGGTGCACGTTGCTTGGCTGGCGGTTTGGGGTGTAATTGGGCGATGTGGCAACTTTTGTAACAGTCATCTGACATACGATGTTGGAGCGTGATCCCTGGAGCGGGGGAGGTCTGGTGTAGGATTTAAGCCAAAGCGGCTTATGCAAGGAGTTGACACTTACAATTTGACTAGTCCTTCAAAAGGGCATACTCACATACAAAGGGATAGCTTCAAAAATTAGATCAATTTATCTAACTTGTTAACGTGAATAAATTCAATTAATATCGAAAGCTCCATAAGGGAGTTATATTTATCGAATATATAAAAACTTCTTCTCTTTACAGCGAATCTACTGCATTCAAACAAAAGGTGGTTTGCGGTTTCAACAGAGCTGCAAAAATGACACAGGCTGGTTGTATCCTGTCTGAATTTACTTAAATATTCTCTACAATAAGTGTGCCCTGTCAGAAGACTATTTAGAATTTTGATGTCAGCAGGAGGCAGGTTGTGTTGGTTTTTAGTGAACCACGGAGTCCGCGTCACTGACGGTTGTATTTGTGCAAAGGTTTTCCCTTTGACTAGACATGTGTTCTGATATTCAACATTCCAATCATTCCAGATCTTGTCTCTAATGCGTGTGCTCGCTTCCTGAAAGGTATACATGCTTTCAATGACTAAACCCCTATCTACTGCAGTCTTGGCTGCAAGATCTGCTTTCTCGTTGAAGCCAATACCTACGTGGCTCGGTCCCCAGCATATTGTGATATCTTGAATAGAAGAGTTGCAAATCTCATTATGTATTTCTGCCACCACAAAGTTGTTTGTGGAGTCCTGCTCCAGTAACTAGACCGCAGCTGCGCTGTCTGTAAAAATACCTATCCAATATAGTTTCAATCTCTTTGCAATTCTTACAGCCTGCCTGATGGCACAGAGTTCACCAAAGGTGGAGGAGAATTTTTCATTTAGTTTGTACATATAAGATGTCTCGCTACATATGACATGGATAGCACAACCTACACAGTCATCAGCTATGGACGCATCAGTGGCGAATAGGTAGAAACCTTCTTTTTCCATTGTTTCTTTCTTCTCCTGATACAACGACATCAGCTGCCTTTCAGAGAATTTTTTCTTTGCGTGCCCAAGTTGTGGTGGAACTAATTTTAAATTTGCGTGCTTTGTAACCTGAGTGTTCGTGTTTATGTTTTCAATAATTTCTTTGAATTTGTTATACGTAAAACTGTAACTAGTGTTAATCTGCGGAGAGTTATTAAGGTGGTTTTTGAGCGTTACATTTGAGCCCCATTGTTTTAAGAGCTCCTTTGCAGTTAGCCAGGTTGCTCTGTGCTTAGGGGGTAGTTCGCCGGCTAGCGCATATCTGGAGTGGAGTGCCTTCTAATGGCATAGTTAGATATTGACTTTAACGCGTTGCTGTAACTTTTCGGTGCATTTGCCAGAGTGGTAAAGGCGTATTCTATTTTGGATCTTAATGTCGATCTGTATACGTTTAGTGATACTTTAGGATTTAGACCCGACTTAATGGTTGTAATTTTGGTTAATAGGTTGATTCCTGAGTTTGCTTCCCGTTTGACTTTTTGTACATGATCTTTTATAGATCGGTTGGAACTAACCATCCTGCCTAAAATTTTTGTTTCAAAGACCTGCTCTATGTCGGTCGAATTGATGTTGAGTGCAAACAGCTTTCTTGGCCCTTTAGTAAAGTGTATGAATTTGGTTTTAGATAGGTTAAAACTGAGGTTTAAGGATTCGCATTGTGATTGTAATTCAATAAGTTTGGTTTTAAGATTATTGAGAGCTGATGGCACGGAGCCGTGATGACTGATTAAAATAATGTCATCGGCATATTGGAGGATCTGTGTCATATGGTCGCTTAAGTCGTGCAGTCCGCTAGTGTAAATATTGAACAAAATCGGCGATAAACAGCTACCTTGTGGGATACCATTTTCCACCGTGATCGAGTGATTTCCTAACGTTAGAGTGCGTTTTGATAGAAAGTTTTGAATCCAGTTACAAATCGTTGGGTTGAAGTTGTGGCTATGTAAAATATTAATCAGCTTCGATGTTTTGACGCAGTTCTAGGCATTGTCAATGTCAAGTACGCAAGCAAAGACCTTTCTATTTTCTTTTCGTAGCGATTCTATTTGATGAAGCGCTTGATTTAGACACATAGGCGCCGATTTATTTTTCCTGTATGCAAAACTGTTGGATGGGATAATCCCTTTATTTTCAACTTCTTCTGTCAGCCTAGCTTTGACTAGCATGTTCGCACATTTGACTATTACAGACAGCAAAGATATCGGTCTAAAGTTGGTGATAATATCTGCGTCTCTGTTGGCTTTCGGAATGGGTACAACCTTGACTCTTTGCCAGGATTCCACCATCTTATTCTCATTTACATGGTTTTCTAATTCTTTGACCAAATTGACTGTGGTTTCGTCGGGAAGAGCTTTTATCATATCAAACGTGATTTTATCCGGTCCGCCTGCTGAACCTTTCTTCTTTTTTAACAAGTCAGTAAGTTCCTCCACCGAGAAGTTTAACCTATCATTTTTCCCACATGGTAGATAACTTTGAGAAGTAACATCATTGTTCTCCATTACCTGGCTTCTAATAAGCGTTAAGAAAGCCTCGTCATTTTCCCTAATCCAGTGGCTAGTATGTTTGCTTCTTCCTTTAAGGTTGTTGACGAAACTCCAAGAGTCTCTCGTATTTGGGTTTTTGTTCAGTTCAGCAATAGCTTCTTCGAAGTTAGCTTTCTTTGCCCGTTTCACTTCTTTTTGCCAGTGAATTTTTGCGGCTATCGCAGCTTCAAAATCTTCGACATTGTTCGTGAGTCTGGCTTTTTTGCGGGTTGCCACAAGCCTTCTGTAACTTACGTTTAGCCCGTCATGCCACCATGCCTTTGGTGTAAACCCAACTTCATTTAGATCAATCGTCGACTTTTTTAAAGCATGCTGAATCGCAGAGTTGAAGGATTTAAGATCGTTCTCGCACTTGACCTTATTTAGTTCGTTGTTTAGGATATTTTTACTGATGAAGAAGTCCGGCTGTTTCTCTACATTCTTGAGATCAATTACAATGGGTTGGTGGTGACTTCCGCCAATGAAATCGGCTTTAGTTGACCAGTTTTCGAAGAGGTTGCAGTTGGTAAGACTGAGGTCTAGTACCGAACCATTTAATCCCTCGCCGTTAGTGTTAGTATAGAGAAAGGTTTTAGCCCCGCTGTTAAGGCACCTGAAATTGAATCTGTCGATGGCAGCCGAAAGGCTTTTTCCCCTCGTCGAGTCAAAGCTGTCTCCCCACCTAGAAAATCTTTCGTTGAAGTCTCCCAAAAGAATGACGTTAGGTTGTTTATTTAAAAAGGATAGCAATTTCTGAATTTCGTTGTTAAAGTTTTGAATGGTTAGGGTTTGACTAAAATATGCCGAGCAGATCGTGCTGTTATTGTCCAAATTCGTTGTCTTGCCAATGACAATGTCACATTGCGTTTGATATTTAATTTTTTGTAGTTTAATATTTCTTTTGCTGCCAATAGCCACGCCTCCGTAGCCATCAGCTCTAGTTTTTGTTATAAGGTTGTAGTTAATGAGTTTATTACCACTAGGATCTTGCGAGAAAATCTCCTGCAAGGCCAGCAGCTCTATGTTGTGTTTCTTGCAAAAAAATTCAACGTGTGGCTTGTTGGCCTTCAAACTCTGTATGTTGAGTTGTAGGACTCTCATACAAATTTGTGATTGATTGGTTTCTACGCTCCGTTGCGTCTGCTGCCGTTACCTCCATGGCCTCGCTATCGGTGTTGTTAACTTGAATGTTAAACCTTTTGCACAGAAGAAAGACAAGTCTTTCAATCTTTGCGACACGGCTCCAGTTCTTGGACTCGTAGCAGGGAATGATGGGTTGTTTATCCTTTGCTTGTCTGTCGGTCGGGTTTGGCTTTTGACTTCCGCCGTTTGTGGGAATTTGAGCCACTTTGCTATA